TACATGCTATCTTAATCTATAGGGCTGCCATACAGATTTCAAGCCGAGGATATACCCCTGGGTATTTAAACCAAACTTTAGTTTCGGAAATCCCGAACCTTTGCGTTCTAGGCGTAAGCCATTCGAACTCTAGTTTTCACCGTCTCAGTTGGTCCCCTAGGAACTCACCGCAAACACAAGCAGGTGGCTATACCAGACCACTGGGAGTCGTTCGGGCACGACAAACACCAAAGGAATTGCACCTTTAGAGGATTTAAGGTCTCCTAGACCGAAGAGTGCGCAAGATAGTGCGATGAAATGCAAGTACGCTGCGCAAAACAGCGCGAATGATGATGCAAGATTTAAGGTCTCCTTAGACCAGAGGATTTAAGGTCTCCTAGACCAGAAAGTGCACAAGAGCAGGCGAATAATGCAATGACTAACAAGTTGCAGGTAAGTGCCAAGATAGCGTGATAAAATGCAATACACAACAAAACATTGTGATGCGCAAAAGAGCACGATTGAAATGCAATGCACAAAACAATGCGATTGAAGTGCGCAGATAGCGTGATGCGCAAAATACGCGAAATGAAATGTATGCAAAATGCAATGAGATCACAAAACAGTGCGTGGGGGTGCGCAAGAGAGTGCGAGTGATAAATTGCACAAAACAGTGTGATGCGCTAGACAGCGCGATGCGTTAGACAAGGAGTGCACAAGACAGTGCGAATGCACAAGATAGTGCGATGAGATCGATTCTTCCTTTCAATATCATGAAAAACAGCATCGTCAGAAGAAATTTGGTTAAAACAAATTATGAAAACATATTTGATAAATTCCGAAGTCAGAGAAATTTGGTTAAAAACACATTCCGAAGTCAAAGAAATTTCGAAGTCAGAGAAATTCAAAATTTCTTGGAGATAAATCAAATTTCTTGGAGATAAATCCAGAAGTCCAGAGAAATTTCCAGAATTTTTCTGAGAGAAATTTCTCTGGACCAATTTTTTTAGATCAACTTGAGAGACCTTAAACATTATGTAAATATTGTGTGTCTTTATACTATAAAATCTTAATACAAGACCTTAAAAAAAATTTCCCTATTGATTAGTTAAAATTATAAGATTTAATCACTTTGCTTGGTTCCTGTTTTCAAAAAACACATTTCAGAAAATTTTACTTTCTTTTTTTCTAATTTTTTTTTTTACTGATTTTTTTTTAATATTTTAAGTAATTTTTTTTTTTTTTACTTTTAGACATACTAACATAAATTAAACTTAAAAGTAAAAAATTGTGAAAAAAATCTTTTAAAAATTCACTAAATACCAAAAATACAAAAAAAATACAAGAATTCAGTACATTTTTTATATTTTTATATTTTTATGTATTTATTAATTTTTTTAAATATTTTTTTATAATTTTTTTACTTTTTAAATACATCTAAGCAAGGTGAATCTAAAAAAGTAAAAAAAATATTTAAAATTTTAAAAATATTCATTAAAAATAAAAAAATATGAAAATTAAAAAATTCAATTTTTAAAAAATTTAATCTAAAAAACTTAAACTAAACACACTGAGCCTCCGTTTGGGAAGTGGGTTGGCTTTTTGACTTTTTTGACTATATGAGCCTGGGCTCAAAAGTTTTGTTTGGGAAGGGCTTTTGGCTTTTTGGCTTTTTTGATTTTTTTGTGTGAGAGAAGAGTGTAATGATTATGAGGTTGGATGGGATGTTTTGTCTGTTGTGACACATGAACTTATTCTGTCTTTTATGACTCATTGAACCAAAAAAGTCCAATGAGCCCTTGCCAAACCAACTCTGAATATTTTTTTAATATGCTAATAACAGATAATTTATGGTTGGTTTGGGATGTCCTAAAAAAGTACATTTTTTGACTTATTGGTGGGTTTGGATTAGGTTTGGATTGGGTTTGATGTGATGTATTAGAGAGATGATATGATTTAAATAAAATGATGTGACTTAAATAAGATAGTGACTTTTTAACTTATTTAATGCATGCCAAACTAGCCCTTAATCAGCAACAAATATCTAGTGGCGTGAAGGAGTACTCTTAAATCACCGCTCTAAGAAATGAGTCCAAAATGGGCAGGTCTCAGTTAGGACACCTTTTGTGGGAGTGCCCAGATGATTTTATGTCAAATCACTCTTCTGACAAAGGCACGCCTCGAGGATGATATGGGCTCACTTTTGGATCCCATTAGATGCTTTGGAACTCCACACGTAAATTAGACTTTGAGTAAAGTGGGTCCCCTAATTTGATTTGTGTTTTAAGATAAATTTTTAACAAAATTTAGGGTGAGAGTTTAGAATTTTTTTTTATTTATTTAGTTGTATATTTTTAAAATAATTGTGGAGTTTGGGATGGTTTGATATTTTGTTATAATTGAGTATATGTGTGTGAGAGAAAAAGTGAATGAGAATGAGAGAGGAGAGAAAAAAAATGATTAATTAATGTGTAGGAGAAAGTGATTTTAGAAATTTTTTTTCAAAAAAATTGAACCAAACAAAATTTTGAAGATTTTTCTTAGAAGTTGTATCTTGAGATACAAACCAAACAAGCTCAAAATGTTTAGTAGCTCGAATTTGTAGGATTCGAATGATTCGAATGTATCAAAATGATGTTATTTTGAGACATTCGAGCCATTCAGGTCATAAAAATTTGAATCACCAAATGTTGTTGTAAAGAAAAATATTAAAATTTTAAATATTTTATCAAATATTTTACTAAATATCTTATATAAATACAAAATTTAAATTAAATAAATTTTATGTGACTCTCGTACCGATATGAGCTATTTGTTTAAAATTTTTAACATTACTCATATATAAATGTTCCATATATTCATCACTTATATGTCAAGTTATTTTCAAAAGTTTAACAAAGAGCAGTTAAAAGCTGTTTTTTAAAACTTTTTTTTTAAATGTGTAATAAAAATTAGAGATGATGAGATTTAAAGAAAATTAAAAGTCAAAAGAGACTTTTTTTAGTTTGAGAATAAGTTTATACTATTTATTTTTTTTGGGTCACATTAATTAATATCTTTTTTTTATTTTTTTATACATCTTTTATAAAAAGTCAAAAAGTCCACTTATTTAGAACATTCCAAACAACCAATATCCTTTTGGCATTGACTAATATAATTAATTTTTTTGTGTTGGGGTCTCATTTGTTTTGGATTTTTTAATTTTTATGAAAGAAAAAATATAATGATTATGGTTTGGATATAACATTTTGTCTTATTGGTTTATGTAGGCTATTTTGGAGTTTTGTACTTTTTTAACCCCAAAATAAAAACCAAACGAGGGCTTAGCTAAATTCCTAAAATCAGCTTAAATATATTAAGGGGTGGTTTGGGATGTTCTAAATAAGTGCACTTTTTAACTTTACAAAAAAAATGTGTAGAAAAGTAGAGAAAGCGGTTAAAAAGGTAAAGATAAGAAATTGATAGATGTTGATTGATGTGATCCAAATAAATATATATAAGTAAAAAAAGTGTACATTTTTAGTTTACCCAAACACCTACTAAGTAAAAGCATTACATAGATTTGTTCTAGGAGTAAAAAATAAAAAGGCTACTATTAATACCTATCTTAATTTTTTGGATTTGCCATTTTCTTGAACTCTTATCCTAAATTCTAAATTTCAAAATAAGATTTCTTTTAACACCCCACTTAATATCAAATTTATTCTTATTCAAAATATCATCACACCCACCTAATTTTGCACACTCTCTCCATCATGGTTGAAGACAGTCCATCTCCTTCCTTATCTTATTGAAGAACGACGACGACGATGATGACGATCCCTCTATTTGATTTATTCGAAATCAGTGGTGTCCATTCTATCAAAACCATTGCATCATTATTGTAAAACTAAGCCAAAACCATACAACTAGTAGACCACCCGGTCATTTGGTCGACTATCAAAGGGTTAGTTTAGCACTGTGTTGCAGAACATAAACAAATTTTTCAACACTGTATTGTCGAACAAAAATGATATGTTTAGCACTGTGTTACCGAACAACATTTGTTCAGTACTATATTGCCGAACATAAATAATTTTTTAGCATTGTGTTGCCGAACGACATTTGTTCAGTATTGTGTAACTTAACCTTTAATTCACTTTTTTCTATTCCAATTCAATAGTATAACAAACGAAATAACAGATATTCATTCCAATTCAACCATTGATATCTGGTTCAAGGTTTAGGATTTTGATGAAATACGTTTAGATTTTAGGATGACGATGAAGAGAAATACGTTGGGTTTAAGATGGTGATGAAGAGGAACATTGGGTTCAAGGATGATGATGAAGAGAAACGTTGACGAAGAGAAATACGCTAGGTTTAGGTGGGAGAGGTGAGTGTACAATATTATAGAACTGTCTATATTTGATAGGTATTCTATTAAAGAGTGTCTTTTAATATAATTTTATTTATGAGTATAATTGTAATAAATAAAAAAAGAATTAGTGAGTCTAAAAAAATTGGATAGGTGTTAATAAGAGTCCTCAAAAATAATTTTCCTACTGCATATGGGCCAAAAATTCAATTTGTGTACGAAATTTAATATATTACATCTCTCTTTCTTATGTTTGTTCTAATCATTCACTAATAATCTCATTTATTTATTATTAAATTTAAAAAGTAAGTCTAAAATATAAATTTATATATTATTTTTCTTTATAAAATCATATACTTTTATAATATTTTTATATTATTAAAATATTTATTATTGTGACTTGTAATTTCAGAAATAAACTGTACAAATTAAAAAATTAAAAAATTAAAAATTAAGACAATATTACTGAAAATATAATAATTGACCTATTATTTAAATAAAAATAAGTATTAATTTGCATCTCTTACTATTTCCTTTGAAGAAATATTACTGACTAATGATTTTCCAGTCAAAAAACACTTGGCTGATTCCCACCACAAGCCACGAGCTCTTCTTCTTTAAAATGAAACCAACCCGAAAGGCCTTTTGCTCTCACGCAGTCTCTCTCTCTTTCTCTCTCTCTTTCTCTTTCTCTTGCCTTAGACAATTTGTTCTTTCGTGTCGATTTTGCATAGTGAAAGTGAGAAAAAGTGAGGAATTCAGTGAATTTAATTGTTAACAACATTGAAAACCCACTAGCAGAAATTCACACACACACACACTGAAAATCAGTTGCATTAACATCTGTTGATGGTTTGCATGCGGTTTATGATGAGAATTTAATCAATTGATTCTTGTTCTTGCTGATCAAACAAGACCAAGAAACAAACAGAGAGAGAAAACAACAAAAAAAAAAAGGAAAAAGTTTTTCAAAATTTATTTATCTTTTTCTTTCTTTTTGTACTCAGGCATGGAGGCTACAGAAATTTAGGAGACCTTTGCATTTTTATTTTTTTTTATTTTTGTTACTTTTATATTCTGTGTCATTGAGTTTTGATTCATGGGTTTTTTCTTGTGAAATTAATCACTTGCAGCACTTTCTGGGAAAATTTTCTGATCATTGAGGTCAGTCAGTTGATCACTGTACTAACTCCATGATTTCTCTTTCCTGATTCTCTCTTATAACTGAGTTTATGTTCTTCTTGTTGCGGTGGAATTGTCAAATATTTTAGTTATGCTGAGGAATGGATCAAGAGCAGTGACAAGCAACAAGCAAGCTCTAATGGCAGAACACAGCTCTCTATCATCTCCCTCCCAAAATCACTCCAAACCCATTTCATCTTTCTTTTCTTCTCCAAGGTTTTTCAATGGGTTTCTCCCCAAACCTCCCTCCGAAACCGAAACAATCAGTCCTACTTCAATTCTCGGCAGCAACCCATTCTCTCCCCACAATTTCTCAGGAAACAGACACTCCTGGGAAAAATCAGACCCAAAAGGCATCGGCCTAGCTCTTGTTGGCTCCCTCAACGATGAAAAAACCGATTCCATTTTGTCCCAACCCAATACCAGAAAGGTCTTGTTTGGATCAAAACTCAAAATTCAAATTCCCCCAATTCCACCTTCTCCCTTTTCTCCCTCCGAATCACCCAAATCTCCAGCAGATTTCGGAACCAAAACCCCTCGCAATTCCCAATTCATAGCTTCTCTATCTCCATTTGAATATGTGAATTCTGGAACCCAAGCAAAGGATTTGAATGGGTGTCTCTCTGTGAGTGAAATGGAGCTATCTGAGGACTATACATGTGTGATCTCTCATGGGTCAAATCCAAGAACAACCCATATATATGGCAACATCGTTGTGGAGAGCTATTGTGGCGTTGTTAAAGTGTCTGAGTTGAATTCTTCGCCGGAAAAGTTGAACTCGCCGCCGCCGGAGCACTTCCTCAGCCTCTGTTACACTTGCAAGAAGAGTCTTGAACAGGGGAAGGACATTTACATATACAGGTTAGTTGTTTTGGATTGAATTCACTGAGTCTTTAGTGTGATTTTTGGGATCATAATATATTGTAAATATTTTTATAGAAAAACAGTTTTGGAAAATTTTGAAAAGTGTTTTTAATGTTTGCAGAGGTGAAAAGGCCTTCTGCAGCAGCGAATGCAGGTGCCAAGAAATGCTTTTTGATGGAGTAGAGAGTCCTTCAGAATCGGCTGGTGATGATGCCTTGTTATAGGACTCTGTTCCTGTTCTTGTTCTTCATTCCCTCTTCTGTTCTTGTTGTTCTATCTATCTTTAATTTCTTTTTCTTTTTCTTTTTCTTTTTCTTTTTTTCTAATAATAATAATAATAATAACATGATTAAGTTTTATATTTAATTTATTTTCAAAATGGTGTGATAATAATTCACATTAGGATCTATTACACTAATGCAGTGATAGTCATGATAAGTAAATTTAAGAGTTAATTAGTTAAAAATTTTATTTACAAATGTTATGATACCTCATATCCTATTTAAGATTTTTTAAATCAATAAGTTCTATTTAGTAAAATTGATAATATTATCAATTTTTTTTTTAATTTTAAAGACAAAATATTATTAATTTTGCATAGTAGTTTTTAAGATAATTATTTCATTAACTGATAAAAAAGAAAAACAGAGTATGAGATTAAAACATTTTTACTATTTTACTTATTAGTTTGATTCAATTATCCAATAAAATCGAGAACATATCATCTTTTTTTTCAGTTTTACAACTGAGAACATTATCAATTTTTTTTTAAAATTTTATTTTATTTTATTTTATTTTAATTTTGCACATCAATATTTTATCATCATGTCCTTTATAGAGATAAAATTTTTAGTTTTGCACAAAAAATAATTTAGTTTTTTTAATTTTTTCAAAAGAAACATCAGTATGTTTGGTTTGAGTTTTTTAGATTAAATTTTTTGAAAATTGAGTTTTTTTATTTTCGTATTTTTGTTTTTTGTTTTTAGTGATTATTTTTAAAATTTAATTTTTTTTTTACTTTTTTAGATGCACCTTACTTAGATGTATTTAAAAAGTAAAAAATTTGTGAAAAAATATTTTAAAAAATTAATAAATACATAAAAATACAAAAAATGTACTGAATTCTTATATTGTTTTTTGTATTTTTGATATTTAGTGAATTTTTAAAAGATTTTTTTTACAATTTTTTTACTTTTTAGGTATATTTATGTTAGATGTGTCTAAAAAGTAAAAATATTGTTTAAAATATTTAAAAAATTCAGTAAATACAAAAAAACATGAAAAATAAGGAAGTAGAATTTTCTGAAAATTGTTTTTGAAAAAATGGAACCAAACAAGCTGATTAGTTTTTTTTTTTTCGACATAATTTTATATTTTTTTTTCAATTTTAAAGTTGATATTTTAAAGTTTTGAAAATCAAAATAATTATCAAATTATCATTTTTTTTTATAGATAATCATACATGATGAACAATCATTGTTTGAAAGGTAATTTTGATTATTAAAAATTTAATTGGATTTAAAGGTTTAAAAAATCTTAATTACGATTTAATGAAATATAAATTTATAAATTAAAATTTGTGTATAAATATCCTTAAATTTAATATAAAAATAATAGAATTTAGAGTAATTACCTTAAAAGTTTAAAATTTAAATTTATAATTTATTTTATGAAATTCTTGAGTCTGAATAAGAAATCACAATTTTTTTATTTTTTATTTTTTATTTTATTTTATAGTCCAAATAGACCATTAATGATTTCTTTTATAAATTATTTCCTACTTATTAAAAAAAAATGGGCCTATGATATGGTCTCATTGTTCATGTAAATAAAAAGTAATTTATAACTATTCTTCATTAATTATTTTTATTTTATTTTTTTGATAAGGATGTATGATTGAAACTTTACCATTATCTTCGTTTAGACATCGTGCTACTCATCATGTTGTTTATCAATGATGTGGGTGTTATAGTGTGTTGTCGTTAATGCCCAAGTCTCATACCCTACTTGTCTTATCTTGGTTGAATAATCATCTCAAGCATGAATATGAGTCTTTTGATCTAAAACTGACTTTGTCAAAGGGAATAAATTCACCACCGGAGGTGATGGCTTAATGAACAAGGCATTTTTCCTTGCAGACGTGACTGAAGTTTGATTGTTGGGAGGAGTGAAATGTTAGATAATTTTAATAATTTTTCTTGGAGATTTTGCTTTATATTTCGATCGAATTTTGAGTTTGTCTGTGTAACGTGTGATTAAATTTTACTGGTACTTTAATGGTAGATCTCTTTTTATGGACTGAGTTAAATCAGGCTGACAATTAGTTATTCCGGAATTTAGACTAACAAATGCCGTAATGATACTTCAAAATATCATTTTTTCTTCTTAAAAAAAAATCAAATCAAATCAAATCAAAGGGAATAAATCCAAAGTTCAAGTCTTTTTCAGACCAGTATTTTCTGATATTCCAAGAAACATTTCTAATACTAGCCAACCAATTCAATTTTTTAGGAAAATAATTGTCCTCCTTTCAAATAATTTCTTTTATGTTGTGTTTAGTTTGAGGATTTACGAAGAGATTTGAAAAGGAAAATAGAAAAAATAAGTAAAATATGAATAAAATATATCTATATTTCATATAGTTTCACATACTTTTTCTTTCTTGTTATCCCAGGTACGTAACCCGATAGGGGGGTGAATTGAGTTATTAAAAATTTTACAATATTAAAATTAACACAATATTTAAAATTTTAACAAATAAAAAAAACAGAATAATAATTGTCAATATAAAAGTAAGAGAGATATGGAGAGAAAATCAAACACTGAGATTTATAGTGGTTTGACACGTCAGGCCTACGTTCACTCGCCAAGGAACCTTCTTGAGAATTTCTTTACAATCAATTGAATAAATACACCACCAAGCTTGTGAATTTTGCACAGGATTTACTCTTATCTATTGAGCCTCACTCAACAATAAATGTCTTACCGTTACAAAATCTCTCACAAAAATAGTAAAAAAATAAGTGGTACTTAAACCCTCTTTTACAATAATTTTCTCACAAAGAGTAGATATGAAAGTGTAAGAACAAAAGCTACACTTAGATCTGAAAGTGAAAGAGCAGAATATAATATACTCAGAATTTTGGAACACAAAATTTTTTTTCTCTTCAAGTTCTTGATTTTTCTCCACACACAACATTTCTATTTATACCCAATCATCATATTAAAGAATATTAATGAGTTAACATTGTGCACTAAAATGCTATGAACAACTAATAAATTTTTTTTTAAAAAAAGAATCAAATGAAACTATCCATTTGGTTTGTTCAAATGAACACACCATGAAATTGGATCAAGGAACTGGAACAATAAAGCAAGGACCACAACAACATCCATCCAACAATGTGTACATCAGCATGTTTTGTAGATCAAAAAAGAAATAATCGTATAACTTAATCAACATAATCCACAAATCTAAAAGTAAATATTTGTAATTCACTACACAAATTGAAGGAAAAAAGAAAAAGAAGAAAAGAAATCTCTCTAGGAAAAAAGAAAAAGAAGAAAAAGAAATATCTCAAAGAAAAAGAAAGCCCTGATTTAAGTGTAGAAAATAGGGCGAAAATAGCCAAATAATGTTTCATAGTAGCGGAAGCAAAACAATTCCAAACCAAAAATTAGTATGTGAACACAGTTTACAAACCAAACCAATATGAAGGACTCCACATCTTTACCAAAAAAATAATGTTCACACCACAAAATCTACACATGAAGAATCCAGATTTAGATTAGACATGCTCAACCCCAAAGTCAGAACCAATGCAATTCAAAATCTGTCACATTAGCTAAAAAAATACGCAGCATCAAAGAAATAGCAAAAAAAAATTATGAGTTCACCACATAAGAAAGTACTGTCTCCTCTCTTTTGCATCAACATGACGGAAAAAAATTCTTTTTTGCAATACATGAATTTATTCCTTCAAATGATCAGGCCGCTAAAATTCATCCTCTCCAGCTAGCACAGAGGAATCAAGAATCTTTACTCTGCTGCAACACTGAAACAAAATCCATGAACCTACATCTGAGATTTAAAGCCACAACATGCAGCCACCACCAACCCTTGAGCTTTATACTGGTTTATAATTGACAATTTGACTAAATTACAATTACCCACAAGGGACCAACCCTCCAAACCACCACACATTCTAACCTAAACAAACCCTAACCAAAAACACATATAAACCAGCTCACGCACATCATCACAGTACAACTGAACCTCTCTAAAATTACATTATGTGCACAATTACACAATATCTGAACCAACAATCTTTGACATTTGAACTATCTACAATATTAGTGTACTTACAATGGGGTCATTCTAGAATACAGAGCCTTACCATATGTACATTTTTTTTATATTAATTATATAAATGTCATAACTAAATCATTTTCAATCATAACTTCAAAAAAAGTGTCACAACCAAACACCACGAAAATATATCCAAAGTCATTTTCGATTATAACCAAGATCACCATAGGTCATAACCAACAAAATAATAATCCTGATAGTAGTGTCTAATCATCACCAATCATCTCTTCCACACATCATTGCATCTAAAAAGTAAGTCTAAAAAATAAGCTTCTATATCATTTTCCTAATCACAATAAGTCATAAACACCAGCCATGACCAAGTCATAACATAGGAAGTAACCAAAAGATCACAAAATCATAATTTGGCATATGATGTACTATAAAATTTTCTTCTCAACTAATCAACAATTTTGAGAGTATGTTAGATGTTACTTGGATTTTAAAAATGTAAACCATCAAGAATTTTGTAACCAGAAATTTACTTATTGATTAAATTTTGAGAATAAAGATTAGCTTTCCAAGACACATTGACTGCTGCTTTTGAAATGAGGCTAATGAGAATAAAATTCGTAATTTTGATGCTCTACAAATGGTCAATATCATCCCATTCATATATTCTGAGTAAAATGTGTCATATGTACAGTGACGTCCAAAAACACCAATGTTAACTAAAATATATTTTGGCTAACCACAAATAAGACAATGTCATTATGTGAATTAAAAAATGACATCATAAAGACATAAAGGATGTTAAGTAGAAACTTAAATGGGAAATAACAATCATAAAAAGAAATTTCATGCCGTATAAAAAGTGAAATAGAAGAAGCACAATTCAGACATCTTGAGCAGCATCAGATATATAATTTTGGGGGGGAGGGGGATGGAAGGAACAATAAAAAACTACATTAAATATATAAATACCTGTTCTGCC